AATAACTTAGGGGGTGAGGTTTTTGGGGCGAAACGTGGCTGTTTGTGGCCTAGATGGAGTGACCTGAGGCTGTTACCATTTCTCTGTCCTATGGCTTGGTATGGTGTTTGGTCAGCCGAACACTCTCTACACCTCTATAGTATGTCTTGAGTCGGGACAGACTCAGTTCCAGCCTGCACCATTCAGCAGAGCCCATCGAGCGAGACTTGTTAAGCCAGAGATCCTCAGTTGCATTAAAATCAGCAGGTCAGAACACAACCTGGAACACATAGGGGATGAGGTTATCCCCTGTCCAATCTCCAACACCAGTCAACACTGGAGCTCAGACAGATAGGAAGGTGGTGAGGGAGCGTGGCTGGAAAAGTTTTAAAGGCTTGGGTAGGTGGAGGCGATCTGCATAAGCTGTCACACTTTGCCCTGATTTGATGGCGCCTCTTTAAGGTGTACCTTGCATAAAAAGCAAAGTTCACTTCTCTTGCAGCTTCCTACTCCCTTAGAAGAAATACTAAATTAGAGAAAAAAGTAAAAAACACTACTCTCCTAGCTCCCAGAAAGCTTACCTAGGTGAGGGTAACATCACCGGGCCTTTCACCAGCATCCTGGAAAAGCTTGAGGAAGGCGCATTGAAAATACTTAAGAGAATATGATTTTGGTTTCCATGCATGATGGATGAGCCATTATGTGAGCAATATGCCTTAAGCCTGTCACAACCCAATGGGGGGCCGAACAAAAGAAATAACTGAGGAGCTCGCTGTACTATGTGATGTTAGTACAACCATCTTCCCACTGAGCTATTGTGTTCTGACAGGGACAGAACAATTCTGGTCAGCGATCAAAGCCATTAGCTGCCAGCACTGATCGGATGCCAATCGGCTGCTGGTTTTCCAGCATGCCCTTTTGACAGATGTTAGGCCGGCTTCTGTACACACTGGCCGAATGTTGGACGCTTTCTGTTGAACCGGCCGATGTTTGACCCATGTGTTCCTGCCTTTAGCAAACCAAGGTGGTGTTGGAGGCAACTGATAAGGCAACCACTGTAAAGCTGGCCATACAAGATTGGATACAAGTTAAGATTTCTTTTGTTTACCACCATCTATGCTATTTTATTCTGATAGCCGGTACCCATGGCTATCAGAATAAACAGCACCTGCATGGGATGAGGGTGCTGTTCAGCTTAGAATTCTCCTCTGGGTCCTTTTCCAAAAATCAAGCTGGGTAGTTCAAATAGCGCCACTCTCAGAACCAGTTTCGGCAGGAATCCACCAAAATTTGATCAGTTTAAGGCAAGCCCCCTGACCCCTGACCATCAAGAAGAAGTGTCAGGCTAATACAAAGCATGTAAAGTTTAGTAAAAGGCACATTCACACCATGTATTGCGTTAGGCAGCCCTTTAATTTTAAAGTGGCTACTAACCCAACACAAAGCGCATTAAACTGGACATGCAGCACACTACAGCATACAGAAGGCTTACATCTATGCTATAGAGCACGTGCCCTGGGGTTCCTTTCAAACTGTAGACAGGGCCTTGGCCAAAAGTCCTCCTGTACGGGCCCCAGGCCAGCAGGGGGGCCAGGCATCTAGGTGAATGGGATGTGGGCAGGAAAAGTGATAAGCACAGCATGGAGGGCAATTACTGGAACCGATCCCCTGTATGGCTCTCTCTGCAGCAGCTTAAAGCTGGCTTCTTCTCCTCTCCCTCCTGCTGGCTTTCAGCTGCTGTAGAGAAAGCCATTCAGGGGATCAGTTCCAGAAGAAAATTAAACTCTTTCCTGGGTCACCCTTATAATAATTTAGATTGGAATGAAGGGGTGATGGAGTGCTAGACTCCAGGCTTTGGAGGAGGTTCTGAATAAATCCGTGTGGCAGATTTCTGCTGCCTGGTGGAGCCCCCGGAGAGATCCCCGACAGAGCCACCGGAAAGGTCCCTGGCAGAATCTGCTTTTATGGATCGAAATCATGAGAGTTCCAAGCCATAGGAATTATTCTGGACATGATTTTTATTTTATTTGTCACAGCGAAAAGACCAAAAGATGAAAACGAACAATTTTGGGTAAGCGTCTAACCACAACTCACAAGGAATTTAGATCTGGGATTGACAATCTGTCCTGATTCCTCTCTCAACTGAAAGGCCTGATGAAGGGGGGTTTGTTCATAACCCCTGAAACGAGTTGAATTTCAGTTTTTGTGTTTGTCCATGAAGTGAAAGCATGAGAGTGCAAGGCCATTGGAATTGATTTGGACTTTTTTTTTTTTTGGTCACAATGAAAAGATCTAACAAAAGTTGACAACTAACACATTTTGGGTGAGCTTCTACCCACCACTTACAAGGAATTTAGATCTGGAATTAACCATCTGTTTTGAGTCTTCTCTCAATAACTGTAAACTAGGGATGCACCAATACCTGTTTTTTTTTTTTTACCGGCGATTACCGATGCTTGTACTCAAATACTCACTGATACCAATTATCGTGCAAATGCTTAGTATCGGCAGTATGGTGCAACCCTACTGTAAACCCTCTGTCAAGGGCAGAGGTCAGGATTTGAGAACAGTAGTTACAGCAGTAGAGAGCTTCCCACGGACCATCGGGATAAGTATGCAAGCAAGTCACCCTGGTAAATGATGCGGGTTCACTCAAGGCTAAGCACTAACCGGTATTAACCACAACTCCTGATGGTGGAGATGGGTTTTGCTGCATGTTAGTACCAAGCCATTGTCCTCAGGTTTGCCTCACCAGGAGATGAGCAAGTCGGGGTCCAGAAGCAGATATAGCAGGTAGGGATTGAACAGAAGCATTGTCAGTAAACAAGCCAAAGGTCAGTAACCAAGTGGTCAGTAACCAGTGGTTGCAGGTTGGGATCACGGGTAAAATAGTAGAGGAAGAAGCCAAAGGTTGTTAACAAGTGGTTGCAGGTTGGGATCAAGGGGAAGCTTAGTAGAGGAACAAGCCAAAAGTTGTTAACAAGTGGTTGTGGGCTGGGATCAAGAGGAAGCTTAGTACAGGAATAAGCCAAAGGTTGGTAACAAGTGGTTGTGGGCTGGGATCAAGGGGAAGCTTAGTAGAGGAACAAGCCAAAGGCTGGTAACAAGTAGTTATGGGCTGGGATCAAGGGGAAGCTTAGTAGAGGAACAAGCCAAAGGCTGGTAACAAGTAGTTATGGGTTGGGATCAAGGGGAAGCTTAGTAGAGGAACAAGCCAAAGGTTGGTAACAAGTAGTTATGGGTTGGGATCAAGGGGAAGCTTTGTAGAGGAACAAGCCAAAGGTTGGTAACAAGTAGTTGCAGGTTGGGAGCAATCGGAAGCATCGTTGAGAAACAAGCGAAGGGTCGATAATGAATGGTTGCAGGTTGGGATCAAGCAATGCGTAGTTGAGGAACAAGACAGAGTGAAAGAAGCAAGATATTGGCAAAGTGCACAATAATCTGGCAAACAGGAAGTGCAGAGACATAGCTAAAGTCAGGAAGTTCATGAGAGGAGCAAAGAGTTAAAGGTTCACCAAGAACAAGAGACAAGACAAGATTGTCCCATGGCAGCCTTCTCAACCTTTTTAACACAGAGAAACCTTTGAAATAACTTTCTGGTCTCAGGGAACCCCTGCTAAGAATTACTGTATCTACATCTCATGATACATTAGGGTGATGGTCAGTGGGAAAAATGTTCCTTGCACTTGTGGTCATTGGGAAGAATTTCGCCCTTACAGATAGCTCAAAATATAAATGGTGTCAGTGGGAAGTTATGTGAGTGGCAGAAATTGCTCAATGAAACCCCTAGCAACGTCTGGAGGAACCCTGGTTGAGAAACCCTATAGAACCAGACAGGGTGTTGTCCAGCATCTCAGGTGGCACAGTGAGAAGAGCCACAGCCAGACATTGCCGTTGTTGCTGGTTCAGATCCAGTTTCTGATGAAGGGGAATTCGCTTCTAATCCCTGAACCAAGTTGAATTTGGTTTCTTGTGTTTCCCATGCACATGGTGATACAATTGTTAGATACAATGATTGTTTTGATAAAGGGATCCCACCTTCTAGAATAATGACTGTACAGGATGGGTACAAACTACTGTTTTCATGTAAAGGTCCAATTCGTCTAGGTGGGAAATCCAGTTGAATGTAAGCAAATCTGTTTTTTTTTTTTTTTTGTTTTTTTACTGTGTCGTATTCTGTTACGTGCACAGCTAGCATTACACACTAGAGGTACACTTGTACCATCTCCAATAAACCATTTATGTGATTATTTTTAAGCCGGGCTCATTATCTCCCTAATTTTCCCATCTAAACGTAACCACAAATTGACTGTTCTATCCGTGTACAAATTCCCCCGAAAATGGACCCTTCTATTAAAGCAATTTTATTTATTTATTTTCTCATCGTCGGCACTAATTGGACTGTTTTGACTGCTGGGAGAAGTGTAGCCCCGAGGCGCACGATTACGGAAACGGCCGATAAGTCTCTCTCATGATCGTGTTGCGGAGATCAGTCATTTTTTCCTTGTTCATGCCGTGTTTTACGAGGTGCTTTTCTGTCTGGGTCGCTGCCATTTTAATTATTAAACCTTTTTTTTCTAATATAGTGAAAAAGTACGCATCAGTTCTTATTGTTTTTTTGGAGACAATGGCTTCCATCTGTTCACTTTCATCTGCCTCGTGAACTATGTAGCCGATGGATGAAGACTGGCGCAAAGAGAAGCAGAGCAACTGCCTTGTGTGAATCAGTCCTGCTATTATTTTCACTGTAAGGACTTGTTTACACTGGGATCATTCTCTGAAGGGCAGTCCACGGTGGATTGCTTTTCAGAAGGCGTTAGGCGATAAGGAGGTGCTATGTCACCTCCACCTGCTTTATCTCCTAAATTCCTGCACCATTGTTCTACATCCGCACTCATTGGATGAAGTTGCAGCACAGCCCCATTCAGCTGAATTATCGCATTCAGCGGTTGACATTGCCGCATTCCAATTTTTAGATATGGCCCAGAGCAGACACTTGAAGCTGAGCTCCAGCCTCCCCTTCAGTCTTGCACAGGTGTTCCGGCTCCTCCCCTTCAGTCTTGCACAGGTGTAGCGGCTCCTCCCCTTCAGTCTTGCACAGGTGTACCTGCTCCTCCCCTTCAGTCTTGCACCGGTGTACCGGATCCTCCCCTTCAGTCTTGCACAGGTGTACCGGCTCCTCCTCTTCAGTCTTGCGCAGGTGTACCGGCTCCTCCCCTTCAGTCTTGCGCAGGTGTGTACCGGCTCCTCCCCTTCAGTCTTGCACAGGTGTACCGGCTCCTCCCCTTCAGTCTTGCACAGGTGTACCAGCTCCTCCCCTGCAGTCTTGCACAGGTGTACCGGCTCCTCCACTCCAGTCTTGCACAGGTGTACCGGCTCCTCCCCTTCAATCTTGCACAGGTGTACCGACTCCTCCCCTTCAGTCTTTCACAGTTGTACCTGCTCCTCCCCTTCAGTCTTGCACAGATGTACCGGCTCCTCCCCTTCAGTCTTGCACAGTTGTACCGGCTCCTCCCCTTCAGTCTTGCACAGGTGTACCGGCTCCTCCCCTTCAGTCTTGCACAGGTGTACCGGCTCCTCCCCTTCAGTCTTGCACAGGTGTACCGGCTCCTCCCCTTCAGTCTTGCACAGGTGTACCTGCTCCTCCCCTTCAGTCTTGCACAGGTGTACCTGCTCCTCCCCTTCAGTCTTGCACAGGTGTAGCGGCTCCTCCCCTTCAGTCTTGCACAGTTGTATCCGCTCCGCTCCTCTCCTGGACTGAAACGGCTTCCTCTGATTTTACTGCACACTGTGAGCTTCTCACTATGTGCATTAGAAGCTGCAGCAAGTCAGATAGAGCTCCGCCTCATTTCCTGGCTGCAAGATGTCCAGCCCTTTCCTCCCCAGCCTGACTGTCCCTGGCTCACCCCTTTTATCCATTGGTTTTCTGTTCTTAAAGTGGAGTTCCACTCACCCTGTCAAAAAATAAAAGTCAGCGGCTACAAAAACTGTAGCTGCTGACTTTTAAAAAAAACAGCCACTTACCTGTCTCTCTGTCCCGCGGTGTGTACTCTGCAGCCCGTTTCACTGGCTGTCCTGTATTCCAGGAGGCTGGCATCTTCAGTGTGGGCACCCGGCTGTGACTGCTTGCGGCTTCACAGCCGGGTACCCACTGCGCATGCGCGAGTAGTGCTGCGCTTTATGAATGGTCCTGAAGTCCTCTTGGACCTGTCACGTGTTCCAGTAGACTACAGGGAGGGAGGGAGGACACCTTCCGTTTTCCGATTGCCTAGGCGATCAGACCGGAAGTGGGAGCGGGTACCTGTCAAATTCAGGTACCCGCTCCCCACCCCCCAAAGGTGCCAATCCTTAATGGGGAATGGGGGAGCAGTCCTTAAAGCGGAACTTCCCCTTTTGGGTGGAGCTCCACTTTAATCTCGTGACGCATCACATGTAGGTGTTACCTAGGGTGCTCTGCTTGTAGAACCAGCCTGCCTAGTAAATCCCACTCCTTCAGGCAGACACCCACCTATCACTCCATTTTGTAATTTGCATAACTCGTCCCAAGAACAAGCTCACTGCTTGCATCACAGCTAAAGTGGGAGGGGGGGGAGGCTGTGATGTTTTCAAGAAGCTTAGTACAGCACCCTGACAGCCCTTCCCACTACCCAATATCTTCCTGCATTGCATAGAGAAGCACATAGACCCAGTGATAATGTCACTGGGTCTAAAATAAAATCTGTCATGTAAATGAAAATCTTTTTTTTTTTTTTTTTTTTCTTTTTTTTTTTTTTTTATGTTTCAGCAGCATGTTGATGAGGGGGACCTAGGAGAGGCAGAATATAAGCAGCTATAACTGTAGCTTTAAGGCCACGTCAGGGTAGTTTCCTGTGTTTGATGACAACTCGCGTCACAAGCAAACAAAAGATTTCCCAGCACACTTACCAGCCAGCCTGAAAAACAACTGAATTGCCCTGTCTAAGAGTTTACGTAAAAAAAAAAAACAGAGTTCTGGTTGCACACATGTGCAAATACATGCGTAAGCCACGTCAAGGGTCCTGTGTAAATATTGCGGTCCTAACTCTATACTTTTCAGAGCCTCCATAGTAGGGGCACATCTAATAATGGATAGATTGAGGGCAGGTATGCCTGGAGGGAGCCCACCCCTCCTTAAAGGCACAGGGACACACATGACGGCCAGCAATAGCACAATGGCTGGAAAGGCATCCAGTGCGTCCCTGCACCCAATTCAACCAACTGTACAAAAAATGGCAACCAACCCCAACCTATAACTAGCCTTAGCAGTAAGGTGCACATGGAAGGGCAACGCAGATCGCAGCCAAAGAAAAGATTTCTAAGTACACTTACCAGCCAGATGAAAAAACAACCAAATTGCCCTGTCTAAGAGTTTACGTAAAAAACCAGAAGGTTGTGTTTGCACACATTTGCAAATACATGTGTAAGGCTCAGTGCCCACATTATTATTATACAGTATTTATAAAGCGCCAATAGTTCGCTCAGCGCTGTACATTACAAAGGGGGACAGAACATGTGACAGAACAATACCAATACAATGCGATACATGAGGGGATCGAGGGCCCTGCTCCTTGGAGCTTACAATCTAGGAGGGAGGGGATAGTGGTACAGGAGGAGATAGCTGTGGGGGATGGAGTAGTAGGAAGAGTGGAGGAGGTCGGCTAGTTAGCAGGGGGTGGGGTAGGCTTCCCTGAAGAGATGGGTTTTCAGGGTGCGCCTAAAGGAGAGGAGAGTAGGTGATAATCTGATGGGTTGGGGCAGGGAGTTCCAGAGGATGGGTGACACCCTGGAGAAGTCCTGGAGGTGGGAGGGACTTGTGTACATATTGCGGTCCTAACTCTATAATTTTCAGAGCCTCCATAGTAGGACACATATAACAATGGATAGATTAACCCCCCTGGCGGTATTCCTGAGTGTAGCTTGGGGTAAAGTTTCATCACCACAAGCGGTAACCCCCCGAGCTACACTCGGGAATACACTGGAGCGTTGCTCTGGAATCTGTTCTGCACTTACCTTGTCCTGCGCTCCCGCGATGTCCCCCCTGCAGTGTCCCCTGTAATGTCCTCCAGCCGATGCCGGCATCTGTCTTCCGGGTTCCGTTCCCTGCGACGTCGGGACGTACGGGGGACGGAACTGGCGGGAAATTAGAAAATTGTAAAAGTGACATTCACTAATACACTAAAATCACATAGTATAACATTCCTGTATCAAACCATTTCACATACATTGTGTCCCGAGTGCTTTGTCCGGCGCCCTGCCTGCATTTTTACTGTTCTTTCTGCCTGGAAACTGAGAAACGTCCATGGCGTCCAAAAAGCCTCCCTTTAGGTCAAAAGCGGTTTTAGACCGGCTAGAGAACAGCGATAGTAAATCAGAACCACTTGCAGAATTGAGTGATAATGATTCGTGGGGGAAATTCATCATCAGACACTGAAAACGATTCTGCGACTTTGCTCATCGATGTGCGAACTTGGCGCTATATTTCACATTTCAGTGTTTTTGGTTTGATTATATTATTTGATTAAATTTATTATTATTATATTATTATTTATGAAATTATAATTTATGATTTCGTGTTTCAAATTCTATCCTCCCCGGGATGTTTACTAGACTCTTGTTCGGACAAATTTCAGTGAGTTATTCCTAAAAATTACAGGCCTACAATAAAAAAAATACATATTTCCAAGCAAAAAAATGTACCGCTTTGAGCACAGAAATACTGCCATAATCATACCGCTAGGGAGGGTAAGGGCAGGTATGCCTGGAGCAGGGGCGGACTGACCATTTAAGCACTCAGGCACTGCCCGAAGGTCCTGGGTCAGTAGGGGGCCCCATGAGATGCCCCTGGTACCTTTCATTGGCTTTATTATAGGCTTTTTTGGGTGTGGGCCAGGACACAGGGGCCCCATGATCCCCTGTTGCCTGGGGGTCCCATGAGTTGTCAGTCCGCCCCTGACCTGGAGGGAGCCCATCCCTCCATAAAGGCACAGTGACACACGTGACGCCCAGCAATAGCACAATGGCAGCAAAGACATCCAGTGCGTCCCTGCACCCAATTCATCCAACTGTACAAAAAATGGCAACCAACCCCAACCTATAACTAGCCTTATCAAGGTGCACATGGAAGGGCAACACACATCGTAAACAAACAAAAGATTTCCTAGCAAACTTACCATCCAGCCTGCAAAGCAACTGAATTGCCCTGTCTAAGAGTTTACATTAACAGAGGGTTAGGACAGCAGTATATACAGAGTAAGGGATTTCCAGCAAGACGAATCGTGACCGGAAATGCGCGATCACGCACGACGAAGATTGGCACCAGACGGCCTATTTTAGGAGTGTCTCTGCTCATGTTCAGTGCTGACTGGTCTTCAGCTCCCCGTGTCCTGCTTGTTCCTGTGTGATTCCTTTATTGCTGACCCGGCTTGTTCCTCACCTGACTCTGATTGCTCTCCTGGTACTGATTCGTGTCTTTGGCTCTGGTCCTGACCTTGGCTTTTCTTTCTGATTCTGTACCGTGCTGCCCGACTGTTGATGACCCTGGCTATTCCATGACATTGCTACTGTCTCTTACCCTCACTACCTGCCTTGCTCTGGTGCACGCCTGGCAATCTGAAAAACCTGCTCTGCCTACTAATACTGTGCCAAAATCAGAGGATCATCAGCCTTCCAAAGTCTTTCATCAGCAAGAGCTGCAAACAACAACTACTGGCGCTCTTGTTCCCCTGGGTCCTAGACTCCCTCTGTTCCTACTCCAGCAGGGTCAGGAGTAGTGACACAAGTGAGGCCGACCTCGTCATTTCAGTCTCCCATCAGGTATGTGACATAGCGGTTCTTTGACATGGGCAATGCAGCTTACGCATGTATTTGCAAATGTGTGAAGACAAAACAGTCTGCTTTTAGCATAAACTGTTAGGGCACTTTGGTTGTTTTGCAGGCTGGTTGGTAAGTGTGCTGGGAAAACTTTTTGTTTGTTTGCGATGTGTGTTGCCCTTCCATGTGCACCTTGTTGTAAAGGCTGGTTATAGGTTGGGGTGGTTGCTATTTTGTATATATATATATATATATATATATATATATATATATATATATATATATATATTATTATTATTATTTTTTTAACAGTTGATGACAACCCAGCAGCAGCAGGATCGCTGTGCAGGACACACCAGGGCAGTGAAACAAGCAGGAAAATAAATGTGATCAGCACACATTTGGTAGTCCTGGCACTGGTGAGTTCTCAGGGTCGCTAGCGTGACATGGACCTTAGACTGCTGTTTTCATTCTTTGGGCTGCTTGAGAATGAAAAAAAAAAACATTTTGCTGTCAGTGTATACTTTCTATACAGTATTAAAAAAAGTAAAAAAAAATCTCGCTTTGTGCCAAGTGCCTCGCCTGGACCAAAATGATATTTTAATAGATTCCTGCTAGCTGAGATGTGATTGCTTAGAAATATTTCTTCCTCCTCTGCCAGGTTACTGTAAAATGTTTTGGCCGATGTCGGAGCACCTGCTGAATGAATGTCTCATCTTGAGCTGGTTTGTGTTTATATCGGGCTTCTAGATGTGAGCCACTGGGCCACACAGCAGTGCAGAGTATTTCAGGAGAGGAGCTATAGAGGAAGGAGCGGAGTCCTCCAGCAGAGCAGAGTAT